TCAAAGCCAGAGCATACGAAGTCCCGAACGGTACAGTTTCCCTGTATTTTCTAGTGATCTCATATCATGTCGAGAGAGCACTCCTAAGTCTCTGACAGATGTGTTGGGATGGAGCAATTGGCCGTCCAAGGTGTATGATCGAGTGGCTGGAGGTCTGGTGATACTGATGAACTCCGACTTACTTGCGTTAAGAGGGAGTTGCATTTCAGTGGACCATGTTGACAGTCGCTCTAAGTCATGCTGGAGGCGAGCGCAGTCGTCCTGGTTCTCAATGATCCTCCAGATTTTCAAATCATCTGCAAACAGGGCGCATGGTGAATGGAGCTGCTGCGAAAGATCGTTGATATGAATAAGAAATAATACTGGCCCAAGTACAGTTCCTTGAGGCACGCCACTAGTCGATGGGAACCAGTCTGTCAGGTAGTCATTGACCTGTACTCTAAACTTTCGTCCCACAATAAACTCGTGTAACCACTGAAATAACGTGTCACCGATTCCGTATGTCCTCAGTTTACCAAGGAGTACCTCGTGGTTCACTCTGTCAAACGCCTTACTAAAGTCGATGTACACCACGTCAACATCCTTCCGTTCGTTGAGAGCTCGTACCCACTGGTGGTTTGCGTACATCAAGTTGGTGATGCAGGATCGCCCTTTCCTAAAGCCGTGTTGCGTTGGCGTCAATACGTCCATCGATTCGAGGAACGATAGCAGACAGTTTTTTACAACCTTCTCGAGCACTTTGGATAATCCCGAAGTCAAACAGATCGGTCTATAGTTCTCTAGTTTACTCGGGAAGTGGTCTCACTATCGAGCATTTCCAGTCGTTCGGGACACATCCTTCAGAGAGCGATTTATTGAAAAGGTTTGTCACGGATGGTGAGATGATAATCGATAGGGACTTGAGTATTAATGGGTGAAGTCCGTCTGGTCCGGGGGGCTTTGCACCATCGAGGTTGACGAGTAGCTAGTACACTTCGACTGCATCACATTGTAGGCTGTTGAGAAAGACTGGCGCAACCGGTGCCGGTACTAAAACCGCCGCCGATTTACTGGAAAATACAGTGAGGAAGTGCGTAGCCAAGGCGTCCGCGCGCTCCGCGCTTGAAATGGGCGTCTTTCCGTCTAAGCTCTCTAAGACCGGTAGGTCGCCCCCAGGTTTCAGTTGACGTTTCAAGTAGGCAAATATTCTTTTGGGTGCAGTTGTGGCCGAGGATGCTAGCTCCTCTTCGAACTGCCGGTGTTTCTTGATCTTTGCGGCGTTACATAAGTTTCGCTATCTCTTGTATCCCGTGTAAGCTTCATCACAACCTGAGCTGATGTACCCATCCCAAAGTTTGCGACGCCGTCGCGCTAACTGTCTATATTCCGTATCAAACCAATGCGGTTTGACAGGTCCCATCTTTGAATACTTAAGGGGAACGAACGTCTCAAATGCCCGGAGAAATACAGTAGGCACATACTTGACTGGCGGTTTCATCAAAAGGAAGTCATGTCTTACAAATCAGTTGTTTATTGGACGAAATAACTCGAGGCCTCGATATCAGGGTTCAAGTGGAGATCTGCTACCTAGACTTCGGTAAAGCAGTTGACTCGGCTAAACATTGTGTTTTACTGGAGAAACCGACTTGGTTTGGGTTGCATCCCCAACAGATGACTTGGTTGTCGGAATTCCTGTGGCAGAACGATCAGTCAGAATTGGTGAGGCCATATCTACCATGGGCACTGCTCATAGCGGGGTCCTCTAGGATTCAATGCTACGGCCGTTGTTTCTTGTTTTTATAAACGATCTCACTCTACATCTCGAAAACCCTTATGTTAATGCGGATTATGTAAAGCATGTTAACAAGGGAGAGCAAGATATTTTCTCTAAAGATCTGGGCACTGTGGCAAAGTAGTCTGAATCACGGGACTTGCCAGTGAAAGCGAACAAATGTCAGTTGTTATCATCCAGTAAGGTTAGGATTACGGTGCAAGCATCCATTGGGTCCCTGACATTGCATTGTGTAGACAAGGTATCGTCATGCTAGATAGCTTCAAGTCTTCGGCACAGTGCCAACATGCTGCTAACAGAGACCGGCAGGAACATTTTCGCCTCGGGAGAGCGCTGTGTAATACCAAAACTGGGGTTTTTCTCCCTTTATACAAAGCGGTGGTTCAGCCGCACTTGGAGTATCGCAGTTAGGCTTGGACACCATACTTTTGAAAGGATGTCGCTTGTTTAGAGAAGGTACACAAACCGGCCACCACAATGACTGAAAGCCAGAGTGAAAAGTCGTATGTTGAATGCCTGAACTGTTTAGGCTTGTTCTTATTGGAACGACCTGATAGAAACGTTTAAGATAATGAACGGTCACAGTAGCAATAAGCCTACCGATCTTCTTGCATTAGCCACGTCGGACCACCCCATCTAAAACTCACGAAGCAGATGTCAAGGCTGGAAATTTTTCATTAATCGCGTAGTACGCATTTGGAGGTTATCTCCCCTGCACTAGTGGAATGTAATGCCATAGAAGTCTTTAAAAGATGCCCAAATATGTAGTGGTCTACTCTGTTCCAGGAATTGCAGTGAGATCAGTGGATTCCAAGTAGTACCAAATATCCCGTGTTCTGTAGAAAGTCACAAACAATTTTATGAAACTACAAGCGGTTCCTCTTGCACGTTTTTGCCTCGGTATAAGTGAAGCTTGAACGTCGAAGTGCCGGAGGCCTAGTCCTGCTTACTGGCATACGAACCGGGACGCTCATTAAGCGAAGGCTGGTTGCGTCCCTGAAGACCAGACCTGACCTGCAACAAGGAATCTCATCTATTACAAAGATGCAGATTAGAGACGTTATAGCCACAGCCCAAACTAGTGTTTTGTTTATGAATCCGGGCCACGAACGCAGCCCACAAACATGGGAGGTGTCCAAACAGGTACAGTGAGTATGGAAACATGCAAGTGATAAGGTAGAGGATTAAAAATTCGATCTAAAGTGATCGAGTTGAGCTTCAAACGAAGATGCAGTCTGCCAAATACTGCAGTGAGAAGTAAATGTGGATGGTTGATGATGAGTTGTGAGCGTGCCGATGTGGCTACTGTGACGGATACCTGGCATTCTTGTAATCCATCCATAGGGTTCTCGATGTCCCTATCTTTCCCAGTTGGATGTAACGCGCAAACATCAACGAGGTAAGCCGTAAATTTTCAAAGCTAAATGAATAATGCCCGTTTTAGAGATTGCACAAGGCGACGAAGTTGTTTCATATAACTTGAAAGTTCGCGGAACAAGTGTTAAGGTGCCCATCGCTAATGGTCTGATAAGTCCTGGTAACTGCATAGTGAAAAGATAAGCAAACGTGGCACCTAGCAACAACAGACGTGCCTTAAGTAACGTTACTGACAAAGTCAAGTGACTTAGCGAAAAAAGGATCTAAGATGTCTGGCTGATGTTTGCTCAGGCAACACCTTTCCTCAATTCCTTACATCGTTCCTCCAAATGTTTGCATGTTGACGTTTGAAGCTGCATCGCATGTGTCATGTGACACGTTGCACGTGTGCACTCGTATGAGCCATACTCATGGACTGTGTTTGCGACGTGAGACCACGTACTCGCACGCGATGCAGCTTCAAGCGTCCCCGATGAAAACATTTGGGGGAACGATGCAACAAACTGAAAAAAGTAGTTGGAAGGTACACGAACAGGTGTGGCAGTACCTGCAGCGTCTAGTCCAGCAGCGCCACACAGAACGATACCAGCGCCAAGTTACAAGAACAGCCGTCCAGTAAGCCTCTGAGAGCGCCCAGCAATAAACAGTGGTTCATAGAGTGAGCGCGTATAATCTCAATGATTTCTTTAAACCTGTATAACACAAGGTACTGATTAATGACCGCTGCAGTGCATATTGGACCGCCCTAATTGACCATTGTATGCTCCTGGCTGTCGCAACTGGACACATATGAGACGAATTTCCGTCAAACAAATACATTTTTCTGCGCACCCTTGACTTTCGCCGTAATGCTCTTTCTCTGGTTGCAAATACCGTCAACAATAAGGAAAAATCGGGTCCCGAATTTTATTTGGTATTACCTAAGGCGTTGGGCTAAACAGAAAATTACTTAAGTAACCGAAATTCGAAACAAATGTGTTTGATTGGGACTGCTAGGGGCATAAAAGTCGGCCCCACAAGGCGATCCAATGGTCACTCGCCTTTAGGCAAAATACGGCGTTACAAGTGCATAATGATGTTTAACAAGATATCTCGATTTATTGGGCTAATTATTCTCATAATTATCTTATGCCTCTGTTAGTGACCAAAAGACATCCAAATGGGACGGCTATCCGTCCGTCTGTGCAGACAAGGGATGCAGCGCTGGTAAAGTTCTGCATTTTTCATTGTGCTTGCTTGTTTCAACTTCCACTATTTATTGTACAGTTGTTTTAATTATCTAAGATATATACTTATTAGAATTTCGTTCTGCGTTGTTGCTCCGGTTCGCAGAGCGTGGGTTCGTCGTCATTGCTTGGTGTCTGGTGAGCAAAGTCGTTACTCACTCGAACTGCGTTTATTGCCGAGGTATACGGTTAGTTTCGGACATTTGGAAGAATTAAAACTAACCAAGCTAATGATAGACATCCTTCGTAGCAAACCGAACATTTTATTAACCTTTTTATGTAGTCTTTTGCACTATAAGGTACTCGCGTGGCTACTATAAACCATGACGTTAAAGATAATCTAAAATGTACAAACGACAACTAAGCTCAACAAGTTCAGGCTCAGCAGAACGGAAAGAACACTACACGGAGCACCAACCACATTAGACAAATGGCAGCGGAGACATGGATATTATCGAAACGTACTTCAATGCCACACCTGACAAGATAAATCGGGTGGTGTAAGGTGAAGCCACGGTGTTCGTCACGTATGAGCTCATCAGCCACAACCACGCTCTCTTCTGTCAGTTGGATATCTCGTCTTATCAAATCGTCATCTAGGAGATATATGAGAAATAAGTAATTACCATATCGTTCATAGCCTTCAGGAATATCGTTATAAGAGAGACAGCTATGCTTCGGAACGTCACCTGTGACAACGGAAGCGGCGTACTGAAATGGGTAAGATAGTAACCAGACGACTCACCAAAAACAGCCGGTCCAGAATACTTATGTACATATGCTGAAAAAACTGAACTTGCAAAATTGCCGAGAGCAATGATATAATCAAATAAGCAGTAATTATGGTTGTGTATAACAGGGAAACCGACACGAGGAACATGTCAGAGAGGATACGCTGTACGCAACCACCCATAAAAGGGTTCCCACGGAGGAGAACAGAGGGCGAAAAGTACTCACATGTCACAGGCTTAAATAGTACTCGTGTAGCTGGGTACACCAAAAACAATTAGTTCAACCTACAGCTGAAGATAAATTCGACGCCATTTACAAAAAGTACGCAAATAAGTAAAGAAATATCTACATGGCCTTATAACTTTGCTTCTAGAACTAGATAATACATTTTATTTTTACCTTGCTGTACATTTTCGTTAACATTCCTTATTCCCGTCTACTCCATACTTCGCTTTGTTATTTATTTACTGCATATTTATATAAACACAATGTTCTTTACCTACTTCTAAATTTTCCGTTGTACACCGTATTTAAGTCACAAAACCTGTTCCCGCTATCATGTGAATGCTGGGTTCAGGTTCAGGTTCAGTTGGTATTGTAGACGGTCCGAGCGCGTCACGGTAACACGTTAACAGGTAAGAGGTCGATAGGTTTTGCTTCCTGTTATCATTACCTTCGTATTCCTCTCCGGCACTTCCTTTCCTCTACCGTGCTTCCTTAGCTGCTTCCTTTACATCGGCCTATTACTACGCGGCTCGAGGGTACAGCCGTCTACGAGGTATTTATTTTGCATTGCAGCTTGTCACACTACTTGGACACGGAAGAGCTCAGAACGCCGGACCGATGAAATATTACAGTATAGCAAATCAAGTTCAAGTTCAACTGGGACTAGAACGATAGTATGAATCCCGTTAGTGTTCCTTCTTGAGCGGGTCTTCGATCCAGTACATGATAGAGGTACTCCGACTTCTTGCTGGGTCTAAAACGAAAAGACCGGAAAAATCTCAGGCCCACCAATTTAATACGCACGTTTCTTTTCGTTGCAAGACGCCGTACTTTATTTGAGCTCAAAAACGTTTGACAAATAAGTGCAGCAATGAACGCCGCCAACTTCTCGGGGAACTAGTGTTGTAAGCCATCAGGACCAGGCGAAGCATTCAAGTTCAAGTCGGGTGGTAGCTCCGCTGTGCTGTCCGTGCTAATTTCGACTTGCTCTAAAGCAGTGTGGTGATTGAGGCGATCCCCAACAACCAACGGCGCCTACGTCTTATCCACAGTAGGATATTGACAAGCTAAAAGACATGCTTTTGCCATGTCATCATAAAGCACGGTGACTTCTTTGCTTAAATACAGTGAAGGTATGCCGTTGCCAGGGTTGCTGTGTCTCCTCAGATAAGCGTAAACTTTTTCAAATTAGGCGCAGATTGCTCGGCCAAATGCTGCACATGCAATGCTCGCTACTTGCGTTACCACAGGATATATAACGCTCTTAGCACTTTATAAGGAGCGTAAATTTAAGTTGCCTGAATGAAATGGAACTGGTCCCAAATTTTTGCCTTATTAGCATGCTTATTAGCATGCTGACTACTGGATCCAACTAACGTGCCATTTGGTGAAAGGTAGTTTTATGACCCTTGGAACAACCTGATTAATCCTCAACATCAGCTTGGATCCCAAAGTTTTCGAACAGGATTGAGGTCCAGATGATGTGGGTTGTTCCAGCCAATGGTTCTTGCAGGTATGTTTAAGTGGAGATGATCAGCTCACCAGAACTTCCCTCCATGCACTCGCTGGAAGTTTATATCATTTATTTATATTAAAAAGAGTCTGCGCAGTGGTCAATTTTGCCCAAAGGATGCAAAATAATGGGAGTGTGATAGAAGATGGAGCAAGTGTGAACACAAAGTGTTATTTTGCCAGGAAAACCTGAGTACTTGACAAAACCTGTTATGTTAGCGTACGTTCGAGAACTGTTTCTAGTATATTCGTAGCAAAGAATTTAATAGGGAATTACAACGCAGGACGTCCCAGTCTAGACCAGGGGCAGTGAAGTCACCCACAAGTGAGCAATCTTTTCCTAACCATGCATCCCAATAAGGTCTGGGAAAGGGGATTCTGACCGCAATATATCCGTAGATAACGCCGAATTTTAGGGGTCTGGACCCATCGCTAAACCGACACCAACCAATTTTCAACGTTCCACCAAACTCACATATAGCTTTCAGCGTGGGCTCTTTAAGGTCTGACTGCCAGTAAGGAAGCACACTACCCTGCTTCATTAACCCTGGAGATCCACATGGGCTAGTTCGAGAATAAACTATTTATTTATTTATTTATTGAAATTAATATCTAAATTATCCCAGGATAGCCAAGTATCCATGAAAGTTATTGAATCGGGTTCTGGCTTCGAGGTCATGAGCATAATCTCACCCAACTTGTTTTTCAAACTAGACACTTTAGCAGATATCTCACTTAATCCTTACAAAATTATTAGTACCACGAACGAACGAAGATTGGTTCTCATTCAAGGAGGTTACCTCTGCACCTTCTGAGGTTGTACCAACCATTGACTTGTTCCATCCGTACGCATAATTTTATAGCAAGAAGTTAGAAGCAATGTCGCGACGTGCCTAGGGAGAGAGTAAGAGTGAGGCGTTTTACGTATGGCGTTACGCCCAACGCCCAACATTTGTGCAGAGTTACCTATGCTTGGGTCAGAGGTTTAAAGCAGTGTATAGCTGAATGCTAGGTTGGCTTCAAGCCTGCACAGTAAGCAAGGTTTCAGACCAAACCGTTTGCAGCTCCCCTGCTAATTGAGCATAGATGTCCAAGCAAGCGCTTAGTAAAACATCTGCTTTTTCTCCAACCATATCCTGTCAAACTTACTCTATTGGAAAAAACAATCGAGCAGCATTCCAACGCCGGCCGAATACCTCGATTGCAGAAGGTGAGTCGAAACTTTACTTGGCTTGTAGGCCCAATAATAGATCTTGTTTGGGCAGGGCTTTGGTCTGCTTGTTTGGCAAATATTTGGGAACTAATGTACTAAAGGCGGTTGTCACGCACAGTGGAGTTGTAACCTGAGATGATGCCATTGTGTTGCTGAGTTGGGTGTTTTAGCGCATAGGTAAGTGACAACGTCCCATTACAACAATGAGAAATTTAGTCTTCCACTATCTAACCAATTTTCAGCGCGAGATCGTTCTGAATGTACTTACAGACCTAGAAGTGGTTAGTACATAACATAAACAAGAGCATAAGGACGCTACCTTTAAATAATCTGCTGGTTACAGGTGCGCTTTGGAAGAGGGATGACCCAGTTGCACTGCCTGCCTGCGGCTAGAAAAGTAAGATGAAAAGCAAGCAAGATGATGGCAAGTTACAATGTAGGCAGCTAGCTGCGTCAGCATCCTATAATGTGAAACTGGTTAAACGCGTGCTTCATATCCAGGAAGAAACTGACTAGGGCCTCCTCTGAGTACAGCAAGTACGCCGTAGTTCAAGAATGCAAGCTGGCATGATTGACAAGATTTGGATAGTAAAAATCATTGTTGGCGCTTACTGACTAGATGGCGCAGCAGTAAGTAACGAAGCCTCCTCTCCTTGTTTATACGTTCCGCATTGCTGAACGCAGTGTGTATGGTTTATAGGACGATATTTGTTAGTATTGCAGCAAGAGCCTTGGTTGTGTCGGGGTACAACGATTTAGTACATCTGTATGGTTGTGTTGCTTCCGATCGTCATAAATAGGTTAGGACACTTTAAAAGTACGGTTGGAATATGGTGGTCGCCGAGTTTTACTAAGGAAGATGGTACTTCGTCAAGACCGAGTTTGTTTGACAAATTTAACAAGTGCAGCGCTTGAGCAATGTTGCAAAGTTAAAACCAATGGTGTGTACTTGGTCGTAGGTAGACATCAGTAGCTTAGTTGGCATTGCTTCATCAATGCTGATGTAGGGGTCATAGAAGTGTGTGTTAATGATATCGCGGCAAACTGCTACGTTAGAAAGTCCTATTCTCAGGAAGAATGGGTGAAGTAATAGCAGGTAGTTTCAGCCACTGCGGTGTTTTATAAGCCGTAACAGAGACTTAACTTGGTTTAAAATGCACTGGGTCGTGCGCTCAGCTGGAGAATGTACTTGGCTTTGCGAGCTTGTTCGAATAGGATTTCGGACCTCCGAATTATGATATAAACGTCCTTAGTATTCTGGTAGCTTGAGCACATTTTAAATAAATAAATAAATAAATAGGTATATTTCTAGACCTGCTAGAGGCTGCACCCTAAAGGGTTCAGATCAATGCTTACATAAATCCGATGCTCTTGCATGGAAGTAGGTAAAATATAAGTATATGTTCATCGTCAGCAATTACAAATGCATTGGCATTGTTTGATATACAGCTACTGGGTCGCAGGCGCCCACCTTGACATGTTTCTGGTTCCTGCGGGTGATACTGAACTCCTTGTTCTTTTGTGAAAACTTCGCGGAGGTGTAGTTGTGCCTTTTCTCCTTGGAACAGAATCCAATTCGCCGAAAGTGCACTTTAAATTGATCGCACATTAATTGGCCACTCAGTTGCCCCAATTGTGCGCACATGGAAGAAATGAGTGAAGGGATTGTAAGGCATACGAAAAGTTGAAAACAATTCCGATAAATGCGGACAAAAATAGAAACAATTTGTTAAGAGAGAAAATAAAGCTGCGTGCTTCAGTAGAAAAATACCAATTAACAAAAATATACAGCCCTACTTTTCATACGCTGATATTGCTCTCCGGCGCAAAATTTCAATCTGAGTTATTCTCAGATAAAAGAAAAAGCCTTTCTACAGTTAGAATACCGCTTAAAGTGGCACAAAATTACACTGGTCTGGACCAGCTTTAGCGCCTGAATACGTTGAACGTAAAAGCAACACAATACGTGCAGTAGTTTGCGAGTTATTCGCAATTAAATGATGGTCTACGAATAAGGCCATTTTTATTTTTCGCTAAAAATGGCTTTCTGCTTTGCAAGCAGATAGCAGAAAAAAGAAAAGAAAATATAAAAAGTA